GCACAGCGGCGAGGTGGGCGCTGTGGGTCCGTCCCGCGGAGCTTTATTGCCTCACTAGCTCAACCTAATCAATGACAAAGTAAGCTCTGAACTTGTAGATGCACCGGCTGCCCGTGGCGGGCCCCAGCCTGGCCGTCTCCCCTTGCCCAAATTCCCAGCGTGTCCTAAAAACAGCCGAGTTTATTAGGAATCCAAGTACTAATCCTCATTAACGACCTTTATCTTGGAGGGCTTAGTAAAGTGAAATTGAAGAAAAGCTATCTAAACGGGGGGAGAGCAAAAGAATAGATGCCAAGAGTTTATTACAGTTCACACCCTTACTCTTGCAACTAGCACTTCAGCACATTAATGTTTTTGCTTGCAGTGCAAAAACTGTTTTTTTATTTAGAAAAAATAACTTTGTATCACTGCTAGCCTCTTGACTTCTTCATTTGGCTGTGTTGTATTTTCCTCCTTTTCTGCATTATTTTCTATTTCCAAGGACTCGTCTGTATCTGTAATGACTCCAGGCATTTAACTTTCTCATTTTTGACTTGAGGACTTACTGAATTTGTCAGTCCTGTAATTTCTGCCATGCTTTGAATATATCAAAGCAGTAACTAAGAGCTTAACTTATACAGTGACTCAATTATAAATGTTTTCAGAAGCCAATTGTGTTTTGTGTAGGATTTTGTCAGGAGTGGATCTGTTTTATAATGCGCTCTAGTTTAATGCTCAGGAAACCAATTTTAAATCTTCAAGAAACTGTTTCCAGACAACTAAAGTTTTCATAGTGTGATGTAGTTCATTAAGAGTTGCTTTGTATTTACTTTATCTGCATGAATAGCACTATTTTCTTCTTTCTTCTCTCCTCCTGGGAAATGTTATGCAAAATAGGCAAATGTGTAGTGCAAGTTTTCTCAGCTACCACTAATCTCCGTTCTCTTGATCTGTCAAAATCATGCGAAAGTTAACGTGTCGTGTAAGGAAGGTGTGTTATGCATGCTATTGATATCTGTAAGTAAAAGCTAAACAGAGCAAACATTACTGTCACTGTCCGTGTCTCAAACTGAATTCTATGGGGTGTTACGAACTAAACAAAGTGACTTTCGATACCCTGCCTAGTATTTTGGAAGCTGAATGCTCCTGCTGTCAAATATTAAGTAATTGACACTTGTAGTAAGCACCGCGTTCTGTTTGGCTGCTTGCTGACTGTTTATATCTCATTTTTTTAAAGTATTGCAACAGTATGCATATTTCCAAGTGGCTTTCTTTGATTGTGTTCATGAGTTTCTTCCCAGACCACTGACACAGCGTTGCTCAGTCACAAAAAAAAAAAGGTGTCATATTGTATCTGTTATGTCTGAACCTTTATAATTTTCAACCATCGCTTTGTATGTGTGCTTTATATGTGATAGGAATTTTTTGCTGGTCACTTCCTAGTATCCTTTGAGGGTAGAACTTTATTTGCTGCACTGTCTGCCTTTTTATCCTTCATAAATGATCATCATGTCTATTCATTCTTTCCTCAGCTGTCTTTGACTCAGAAAGTCAGATGCCTCCAGAGAGCACTGAGCACAAACCAGGACTGTTGTTGCATCCAACATCCTGCTGTTGCTCCCACTCGCTGTTAAGTTGAGCACGGCCTCTTCGCTTGGGAAAGGGTTGTCCAATGCTGGCGTTAATCCTGCTCCGGCGGAGGTTGGGCTGGATGACCTTCAAAGGCTCCTTCCAACCAACATTTCTCTCATTCCGTTTATATGTGCCTCCATATAGTAATCTGTGTCTATCGGAAGACTTTTGCTCTTTAAAAATGACCAGCAGATGATTGCTCATGTAACCACTTTTTTTTTTTCTCCTGTTCTCCTTCTACTATTATACTCTGCTATTTTACTGTTACAGGTTGTTCTTGTGAAGCTATTGAGGTTGCATGATGGCCTCATCTACATTTTAAATTTGTGAGTGTACGTGCAGGCATGAAGAGGTAGTGAAGTGAAATAAGTCACTGAGGTTTCAGAAGTGTGTGAGCCACTTGCCTTCTGCTTACTGCTCTAGTATTCTTATACATTCTGATGGATTTGCAAATTATTTTTCTTCATAAGCATAAACAGAATTAATAGCTCATGTTTGTAGCAAAAATATACCTCCTTCTACTCTTAGGTCCTCCTTTTGAGAAATACACTTTTTTCTTCTATTGCT